GAGCCAGACTATCGACTTACAAGAAGGTAGTGACTCCAAATCGCGATGATAAACAAAATACGACGGCCAAAGCACGATCCCGGAGGCTGTACACGACGATGCTGACGAAGTTTGACTGCGTGGTAATGGACGACGAAACCTACGTCAAAGCCGACTACAAGCAGCTTCCGGGACAGGAGTTTTATACGGCAAAAGGAAGGGGAAAGGTAGCAGATGTTTTCAAGCACATGAAACTGTCAAAGTTCGCAAAGAAATATCTGGTTTGGCAAGCCATCTGTACCTGTGGCTTGAAAAGCAGCATTTTCATAGCTTCCGGGACTGTCAACCAAGAAATTTACGTGAAAGAGTGTTTGAATAAACGTCTGCTGCCTTTCCTGAAGAAACACGGTTGTTCCGTACTGTTTTGGCCGGATTTGGCATCTTGCCATTACGGTAAAAAGGCCATGGAGTGGTACGCCGCCAACAACGTGCAGGTGGTTCCCAAGGACAAGAACCCTCCCAACACGCCAGAGCTCCGCCCAATTGAGAAATACTGGGCTATTGTTAAGCGGAACCTAAAGAAGACCAAAAAAACTGCTAAGGGCGAGCAGCAGTTCAAGGCAAACTGGCTTTCTGCGGCGAAGAAGGTGGACAAGGTGGCTGTACAAAATCTGATGGCAGGGGTCAAGCGTAAGGCCCGGCAATTCGGATTTGGAAAAGCGGAAGCCTAACTGAATATTTTTCCTGAATTTTATACTAATTGAACTTGAAAAAGAAATTTAATTTGATTTTTTTAAATAAACGATTTCACCGATTTACACGCGTTTTCCCTTGACCAAATTTTGACCGTATCACCCTTTATGCCAGAAAGTTCATTGAAATTTTTGAATATCCGCTATAAACTGATACGAAGATTCCTGAATTACTAAGTAATTTACTGAACTTCTACGATTAATGGGAAAACAAACCGTCCATTCATCCATGTGTGCTAGATATAGAAAGATGATTAAACGTCAAAAAGGTCTATACACCATGTAAAGTCTGGAACGCGCAAAAATTGATCAACTTCAAATTTGTATTTCTGTTAAAAATGCTTTTAAAAAAACCTGAAATGCTGCATTTGCAAGTTGAGTGTATAAACAATGGTTGCTATGATGAGCTTTCACCGTTTGCTCTCCAGTTTTCAAAATGACGTCCAAGCATAAGGAGCAGCGTGTCAAAATTTTGCTCGTGCAGCAAGAGAATCCGACGTTCTCACACGCCAAGTTGGCAAAATTGCTGGATGTGGCCAACTCGACCGTGACAATCGTTTTAAAAGTGTTCGGTGAGCGTCTGTCGATCGCCAGGAAGCCTGGAAGTGGCGGCAATCGTAATCCGGACGTGGCAGCGACGACGAAGAAGGTGGCGGTGATATATACGCGGAATCCTAACCTCTCCATCCGGAACGTCGCTGGCAAGCTCAATGTCTCCCATACTACTGTGCAGCGGGCCAACAAACGAGCCGGGTTGTTGACGTTTAAGAAGGTGAAGGTGGCACACCGAGATTACAAACAAAACACGTCGGCAAAGCAGCGGTCCCGAAAGCTGCATACGAATCTGCTCACAAAGTTCGACTGTGTCGTCATGGATGACGAAACTTATGTGAAGGCGGATTTCAAGCAGCTTCCGGGACAGGAGTTGTATACCGCATCAGGAAAAGAGAAGGTGGCTGAAATTTTTAAAACCATCAAACTATCGAAGTTCCCGAAAAATATCACGTCTGGCAGGCCATTAGCACGTGTGGTCTAAAAAGCGGCATTTTCATTACTACGGTAACCATCAATCAAGAGATCTACGTACAGGAGTGCCTGGAAAAGCGGTTGCTACCCTTTTTAAAGCAACATAATAGACCTGTGCTGTTCTGACCGGACTTGGCGAGCTGCCACTATGCGAAAAAGGCAATCGAGTGGTACGATGCGAACAACTTGGTATGGTACCCAAAGACCATAACCCTTCCAACAGCCCAGAACTCCGTCGTATCGAACGGTATTGGGCCTTGGTCAAACGGAATATCAAAAAAACTAATAAATCGGAGGCGAATAAGATCGATGAGACCACTGTGCAAAATTTAATGGAAGGAGTTAAGCGGAAGGCATAGCAGTTCGGATTTGGCAAACCAAAAGAATAAACGAAGATTTTTTTCCTTTAAATATATGAATTGAACTAGGTCCAAAAGAAAAATTAGAAGATTTGTGTGAAATGAATTTTGACTGAAAGAAACAATTTTTTTTTCGACCAATTTTTGCGCGTTCCAGTCTTTAGTTATCCGTTGCGTTCCTGGCGTTTAAATTTGCGTGGATTTGAAAATTCAATCGTCAAAATTTCTCAATCTTTTCCTGCACAACAAGTTGCATTTTGTCGGGAATCTTGTAATTTTTTTGAATCCGTCGTGCGACACATCACACTTCATGATTTTACAAAATTTGGCCGGTAATAGCCTTATTGTCAGTTCACGATCGCATAAGCGCTTCCGGGCATGTACTGGTGCCCCAGAAATGTTTCGGTGCCGTCGGGGAAGTAAATAATTATCAACAAGAACTAAGACCTGTCGTGCGACAAATCAAAGTTCATAGTTTTTCAAAACTCGGCACTAACGGTTTTAATAAGATCTATCCCGGAAATGATCCAGTGCCCTCGGGGAAGTGGCCAATTCTCAACAAGAAGTAGAACTCGTCGTGCGACACATCAAGCTTCAAGGACTGAAACGCCGTCCATCTGCAAACCGTGACCATTTTCAGCCGAGTTTCGTAAAATCTTAAAGTTTGATATGTAGCACGACGAGTTTTGGTTCTTTTTGAAAATTGGCCACTTTCCCGGGGGCTTCGGAACTTTTCCGGGATGCCCAATGTGACCATGAAACATGGGTGTAACCGCCATTGGTCCAATTACATCATTTGAGTGAGAAAATATGATGTCACCGTGTGCATAGTTATTGAAAAATAGTTAAGCCGAATGCCGACCCAGAGTAACCCCAACGGAAACCTAAATTACTTCGGAACCATGCACCATGGCAAAATGGAATTTGTTGTGCAGGAAAAGGTTGAGAAATGATGTTTTACGAGCAAATTGAATTTTTAAATCTATGCAAATATAGACGTCAAGCACGCAAAGGTTAAAAGAAGATCTCCGAACTAACAGTTCCCTTCGAAGTTATCTGAAATTAAACAAAGTTCCATCAAGTTCTCCAAACTGGTACAAAGTTAATGTTTTTTTATGTTTTACTACGGTATTTCCTGAACATCTACGATGTTCCTGAAGTTTTACAAAGTTCTCTGAAGCTCAACAAAAATCACTGAACTTGAACGGATTTCCCCAAATTTCTACGAAATTCGATTAATTTATTTAAAGTTTTCTTAATTCCAACAAAGATCTGATGAACCCTAATAACATTGTTATGGTTGTTTTTCTCAACACGGCGAATGAGAACGACCCAAATTTGAGTTTAGTTCACTCATAATCGCCAAAAGTGCAGGAACTCAGCGATGAGTAAAATTTGTCTCATGTTTTCCCAGGTTTTTCCAGGATTTAAGAAAAGTAAAGATTGGATTAACTAAGTCTATTGATACTACTCCGAGACTGAATAAAATTTTCATCAATTTATTCATTTTCCGGCAGATTTTTTAGGTTTTCCACAGGATACCATGAGACAAATTTACTCATCGCTGAGTTCCTGCACTTTTGGCATCCAAAACCATTTGTGGAATAGTTCTATCATTTATGTTATCGTTCGTTTAAGGTATTTTGTATTAGGGAAGTTATCTGAACTTCTACAAAATTTACAGAACTTCTGCATAATTCTATGCATTTTAAACAAGCTCACTGAAGTTTAACTAAATACACTAAATTTCTATAAAATTCGCTGAGCTTCTACAAGGCTACTTGAAAACTTTCTGCATTTCTAGAATGTTTCCGACTTTTTCTGAAGTACTACTAAGTTTCATGAAGATATATCTCTGAAAAGTTCCATATGTGAAATATTTAACACCCTACCCCCACTCTAAAATTCAAAAAAGTAGCGGAGTAGACATTTCGTCGATCTCTAATAAGATTTTTTGCTAAATACACTTGGCATCCCTGGTGCTTCCTGAATGCAAAAGGTTGAAAACCATTGGTCTACTACGTGTACAGATGTAATAGTTTTCAACTTACAGTACAAGTACTACTTTTTCGTTTAGCCCAACGCTGCCTGGATCTTAGCAATGGTATTATGCTAGCCCCATTTAAATTAATCATTATGAATTTTAGCCCAAAATGAATGAGAAATAAACAAAATGCATCTTGAAGCATGTTTATCGCTCAAAGATACAGCCATTAAAAAAAACTACAAGGGACAGCCCTATGGACTCACGAGGGCTACTGATTCCGATCAATAGCGGTGCGGCTTCTTCCTCCTTCTACAGATGCACATGTGGGCTGTTGGCAGCTAGCTACTTGCAGGCAGCCTTTCGTTGTGTACTGGAGAACACCACCACTCACCACGCGGTGATTGAATAATCACCGTTTGGAATTCAACTTTGAAATCTGTGTTAGGGAAATCGCTGTTGGCAGGCAATCGGTGATAATTTTAATTATCATAGCAACAGTTGCACATTCGTGCAATTTCCAATTGTTAAATTTTGGAAAATAATAAAATCTTAATTTTAACAGATGCGTAGGAATATTTCTGATCGATTTGTGATAAAATTATTGAAATTGATCCAGGGGCAGCTGAGTTATTAACGACCAAAATCTTTCATAATTTTGTTGCATGTTTTTGGTTTTCACAAAGTGTACTCCCATATAAGAATTACAGACGTCACAAATTACGTTTAGAAAGGTTGGGCAGGCCTGGTTTAGCCGATACCATAGTGAGAGCGAAGAGAAGCGAAAAGGCAAGCAAAGAGTTGAAACGCATGTAAGGAATATAATCAATAATGGGAATTTCCACTAATTATATTATTCCTTAAATTCGTTTCAACGCTTCTCTCACCTTTTCGCTTCTCTTCGCTCTCACTATGGCATCGGCCTTACAGTGATGGACTCCCAGGCCATAGCTTGAATGGTCTATGAGTGTTTCGTTGTCCAACCCGAGGGGGCGACTCTATCTACGATGCAGGAAATATTGTGTTTTGCTGTGGCTAGCTGCGCGTACGCTGAGTAGATAGAAAGAAGATTCATCACGATTTTGAAGATTTCCTTCAAAAAGATGATACGCGATGCACGTAGATGCGAGAAATGAAAGAAGATTTTTCGAAGATTTATTCGCTAGTGTGAGATTTTTTGAGCATCTAGAATTGAGATTTAGATGTGTCGCCCCCCTCGGTCCAACCATCAGGTGGATGCAGAATTTGCGAATTATGTTATAATTGTATGACAAAAGTTTGGCAATGACGAATTTTTGGTCTAAAATTAGTACTTTTTAGTAGCATTTGCTCTTCCACAGTTGTCAATAGGTCATCTAAAGAAACGAATACTATAAGGTTTTGCACCGTCGGGGTTAACCTCAATCGGATGACAGTTCAATGGTACTGTTTACGTAGACTTAGTCGACTGTTTCTTGGGTAGATTTTCTCGATAATTTGTCAGACTGCAGTAAGATGTAAACCACACGTCTGTAATGTCCGCAAACAACATATTTTCACCGTGCATTTCCTCAACAAGTTTCAAGTTGAAATTCGGAAATTTTACAATATTTTTTTTCGAAAAAACGACTACGTGCTTGTAAACAGTACCACTGAATTGTCAAAAACGTTGCGCCAATTAAACTGGGCTCATTCGTAGCGTCACGCTACAGAACCTAACTAACGGCATGCTGCACGCAGAAGTCACGAATAAATGCGATGAACTCGTGTTTACCGGTTTGACAGCCGTCGTTGTCCTTGTTTGTGTACTTTCACCAGTTAGCGGATTCAGAATGAAATTTTTAAACCACAATGATTATAAGTTTATTTCCGCGTGAAAACATCAAGGAGAAACTGAAATGATAAGAGCTCCAAAAGTCATTGAAGATTTTGGCAGGTTCTACATTTCATTGAGTTGGGGAAAACACAATACATCGGAATTAACAATATTTCTGTATTTAATATTTTTGTCAATAATTCATCTTTGCATCAATATATTGATACATGTGGGGTTCGCTTTTTGATTTTCGGTCAATATGTTCAGCAATATTTTCGTCGTGAATATTTGCATCAATATGATTGTCAACTCTTTTTAGTATTTTCAATATTTTTGCCCGTGTTGTGCTTGCTAAAGAAAATATGAAAATGACTTCATCACTGCCAAGTACTCAACACCACTTGGCTTGTACTTGGCACTGATGAAGTTTGCAAGTAGTAGACGAAAAACGCCTATCTGTCAAAAGATAAGCAATTATAATGGAATTTAAAGCAAATAAATCAATACACTCAAAAAGCTCTTCATAAAGGGATTCCGTTAAGAGGTTCGACAAATTTAATAGAATGAATGACAGCCAACCTCTTTCCCATTTTATCCCCCTCCGTTTACAAGCTGTGAGGCTCGGTGGAATGAGTTGTGAGGAAGAATTCTACTCCTCATAAAAATGCAGACTTGCGAGTGAGGCTCCATCAAGCCTGATTACAGGTCTGTGTAAACAAACCATCAAGAGATTTAAAAAAAGTGAGGTTACCTCGGTGCTGCTGCTCCCTAAATAGATTATGTAAACAACAAAGCTAGTAACTGTCAAGATCTCGTTGCTAATCAAAACAACGATTTCTTCATTGACCTAGTGACCTATTCTATGTAATCTACCATTTTTATACAAATGGCAGTGCTGAATGATGCCCAGGAAAGTCGGGATATTCTCCATCCCGAAAAAATCTCAGACCGGACTGGGAAGAACCGATGACTATATGACAAAAGTCTCTTTCTCACCAATGGCAGTGGTTGGTAGTCATGGTCTTACTTTATAGCTGCGCCTTTTCCGACTGTTGCTTACTTACTAAGTAATCAATAATCATAATTCAAGATCAAAACGATCCCCAAAACTTCATTGCAAGTAAAACCCCAAAGTTATATGCGGGTTTTAAGCTAAAAAACAAAGCCAACGAATTCAAATCATTGTGGCAATTAACCGAACCGTAATTGCTATTGTTTTAACTAACTTTCGTACACCACCCGTTGCCAGGGTCCATACTGTTTGCAAACGTACTCGAGAATTTAATCCATCCTTCAGCTAAACATATTTACCAAACAAGTCTTCAAAAACCAAACATCCGTACTCACCTTCCAAACAACGGATGCCACAGCGGAGAACTCAGGTCCGTCGAATCGTCGAGCCCGCTGGTGGTGCTACCCACTTCGGGCAACTCGTCTGTATTCAACAATCTCCGCTGGATGGCCGCCGGATCCAGCAGGTGTAATCCGGGTTTCACTTTTAATTTTCCTTGTTGCTGTTGAGATTGTTGCTGATGTAGCAATTGTTGTTGCTGTTGAAGCAGTTGTTGCTGCTGCTGCTGATGTTGCTGTTGTTGCTGCTGCTGCTGTTGCTGTTGCTGTTGCTGCTGTTGCAAAAACATCTGCTGCTGCAGCTGGTCATGTTGACCGGACGCTGCGTACAGGTCCATTCCCGGAAGTGCCATCAGGTTGGCCAATTTGCTGTTGACACTGTGCTTCTGCTGCAGTTGCTGTTGCTTCTCGGGTTGAAGGAGATTCATGAGCGATTTGCAGGTGACTCGAGGCTTTTGCTCTTCCTGGTGGAGCTGCAGCTGCTCTCGGGAATGGCTGTGGGGTTCTTTTTGCAGCTTGCGTGCGAGCTGCTGTTGCTGTTCGTGAAATTCTTGGAAGGTAGTTGGAAGGTTAAAGAAAGGATTGTTGGGAAACATAGAGTTGGCATTCTGTTTGCTCTTCTGGGTGGCGGAGAGCTGCGGTCGGGTATGTTGTTGTCGCATCTGCGCGTTGGCTGCTGCCGCGGCGGCTGCGGCCTGATTCATCATGTTTGGCATGTTTTTGATTCCCGAATGGCTGAATTGCTGCTGTAGCGAGGATGGAGATTGCATCGTTGAGGTTCGACTGTTGCTGGCGAAACGGTTATTTGGCATCGTTGGGGTCATGAACTGAGGTATCGAGAGAGGATTCAAGGAGTTCATTACGGAACTGGGTTTCTTGGTTTGTTGAGTCTGCTGTTGGAACATGCTGGCTGCGGCGGCGACCGCTGCTACGGAACGTTGTTGCTCGATGGTCTTTGGCGGAATGATGGGTTTGCGGTCGATGGTGACCGCTGCCTTCTTCTGTGCATCCTGTTTACGTTGCAAACTGGCGCTGTTTACCTGGCTGAGGGCGTCCTGCCACATGGCGAATTCCAGCTGCCGCTTGTAGTCCATGGGGTTGGTTGCCAGGCCGCAGAGATCTTGGAACCGTGGATTAATAAACGGTAACATATCGGTAAGGCTGGGGTTGGAATTTGGAATGTTCATCATCGCTTTAAGGAGTTCCGGTCCGAATTGTCCCATTTGACCTAGATAAGGGAGCCAGAGCATTTGGTTGAATGCGGCTGCAGTGGCAGCATCAATGTCACCGGCAAGTCCAGAAGCTAGTAGTGAACTCATCATGGGGTTCTGCTTGGCTGCTTGAGACGTGATGGTCTGTTTCAAGGTTTCCAGCGGACTAGGGGCGGTCTTTTTGCTGCTGTCATTCTTGGACTTGAGCTTCTGCAGCTCGTCTTGAGTTTCGAGAATCTTCTCGAGTTGGGCGAGCGAAATCACCAAAATATCCGGATCCTGTAGGATGTTGGGAAATGCGAAAGCTTCAGGTAACCGCAGTTCGGGCCGGGTTGTAAGGAGCAGGGGAATCTCTCGGGCCGGTGACGCTAGTACGGCGTTGAGACGATCCTTTGGCACTAGTAGTGGATCAGGTACCTTCCATGCTGGATTGCTAACCAGCAACCGTAGCTGAGTGATAGCATCCGGATCGATTCCGGAGGATAGCATTTCAACCAACCGCGTGGATTCACTCGCATTGTGATGGGAGGATGGAGTGCTGCGGCTGCTTCCACTACCACCAGCCATGGTAGCGATGGAAACGGAGACTTCCGTTGCCGCGCTAGAACTGGACCCTGTGGAGGTGGATGGTTTGTTGCTCTCCGGATCGGTTTTGATTCGTTTGGATTTGGGTTCGTCTTCTGAACTGGATTGACGTTTGGCTTCTTCCGAGCAGCTAACCGTTGGACTAGCAGATTTGCGGCATTTTCCCAAATCGAGTGGTTCTTTCTGTTGGTTCGCGGGACGGGATTTAGTTGCCGTAGAGGATGCTTGAGACATGAGATTTTCGATGGCAGAATTGGAGATGGATTTCGGCTGAAGGAATATGTCCGGAGACGGTGGGACTGCGGGAAGGCCACTCGGTTGCGGCGATTGAATGGCATCGGAACTGTGGGATATGGGTCGTGGAGATGGGGACAGGGTCACTATGGAGTCGGTACTCTTTTCACTACGTTTTCGACAGCTGAGATCCTTTGGTAGTTCTTCTTGACAAGAGTCAGGTGAAATCACTATGGGTGTATCGGATTCTTTGTTATTCTTCTCGGCACTACTATTGAAATAGGAATTTGCATGTTCACTACTATCCGTAAGGTCCTTTATCGTGATGGACAGTTCGTCCAGCGTGGGATTCTGCGAGGAGAACGGATTGGGCAGATTGTCGTCCATCTGCAAGGAATGATGGTTGGTATCGAACAAATCCCCGGTAAGCCCTTCAATTTCACCAGCCTCGTTAAAGGATAAACACTTGGGCGATGTACTGAGCGATTCACCTAGACGCGAGATGATGTCGGCAACAGGTTCCGGTTCCAGGAGAACATCATCGTCGTCGTTATAATCGTCTGATATGGAATAGATAGTGTTCTTGAGATCATCGGTCCCGGAAATATGATTGTCTTCACACCGTTGCTCCACCAGCGAATCGAGCAGTTCGGCACCAGTCATTGTATTTTCACCACAGTTGGCATGTAGCAAATCTTCCGGATTGGCGGATTGGATTTCACGAATTCCTTCGATTAGGTCCCTGCAATCGTTAAATTCACTCAGATGATGATGCTTGGGATCATCATCCTCCAGCTCACTGTCACTACTGATTGTGATGTGCGGTTGCACTTCCGCGTTCTGGATGCAATCCGATTCCGTCTTACAATTTTCGTATACTGCGCTATCCAGGCACATATTTTCATTTCGTCCTTTTGTTTGCTGGTGGTGCTGCTGCTGTGCTAGCGTTGGCTCTGGCTCCAGAACGCACACTTCGTCTCCATCGTCGTCAATCTCATGCACAGTCGGTGCATCGGAAGTTGTTGATGTGTGCAACGGTTCACCACCTTGTTCCCCAACTTCTTTCGCACTCACACTAGCAGTGCCACCGCCCGCCGCCGTGGGAGGAATGGCGGTGGAAAGAGCTGCTCCAACTGCAGCAGCAGCAGCAGCATCCATAGATGCACCAATAGTGCTATGATGGCTAGAATCGGTTGCGGTTGTAGAGGTGCTAGTGCCGTTACCGTTGCTCCTGGCAGCGGCGGCAGCTGCAGCCGCCACCGCAACCGCCTGCAGAGACTCCAAGTGATAGGAGATTGTTTTCTCAATGCACTCGTTCGCGTGGTTTTCCTGATGATTAAACCCAAGTTCATTTAGTGCAATCAAATTATTGAGCGCCGCCGTTGTTGTGGTGTGCTGTTCGATGTTGCCATTGACATGCGCACTACTGCGAGCACGTTGAAGTTCTTGCACCGAAATGATGGTTGATGGTATCTGTGCCTCGATGTTATCCAATTCCTCCGACCAACCTGCGACTCCATTTGGCTCTGCCCCTGCCATGTTTGTTCCTTGGTGCACTAATTCCTGGGGATGATGTCTTTCGTCCTCTTCATCCTCTTCCTCCTCCTCCTCCTCCGGCTGTATCAGCTCGACGTCATTGTCGCTGCCGTCGTCTTTATTGCTATCTGTGTTACTAGTGTTGGCGTTAATACTATTGGTACTGATTTCCTCTAGGCTAGTGGCGATATTTATGGTACTATTATTTGCATTACATTCACTATTACTACTGATATTGTTGCTATTAACGGTTAAATTATTTTGATTACTAATATCTTCAACAGTAACATCTGATTGGCTCAAATCCTTCAGGTTCAAACTAGTATCCTGTTCGTCGACTGGCGTTACGTCGATAACGTCATCGTCTTCCTCGTCCTTGTTCAACAGTTCCATCTGTTCAACGTCATGCACTTCCAAACAACCATCACTGTCCTGCTCGGCGAGCACATTCTCATCGTCCAAAGTCAACTGCCGTTTTGCCTTTTTGTGCTTCTTTTTCTTTTTGTGTAATTTTTTGTACTTTGGTATCCCAGCTTTCAATCGACCGCCAGCCATCGACCTGGATTGTCCTGGTTTGGGCAACAGGGAAAATACCACCGACGAACTGGAATCCGTCCGTGGGAATGACCTCCAGAGGCCATTGGAGGTTTTGGTTATTCGTATACGGTTTCGCTTGTCGTAGTCTTCACAGCGGACCTCAACGATCCGGGTGTCCTCTTGCTTAACGAACAGGAAAATCGGATTCAACCGAGGAACTGAACTCTCCTCCGCCTCGGTGATAGCTGCATCTTTCGGTTTTCTTCCACCGCCGCTGCTGCCGGCACTGGCACTGGCACAGGTAGCATTGTTTGTTTTGCTTTTGTTCGGTGTTGTTCGGCTACTGCTTCTGGTGGTAGAAGACGCACCTACAGTAGCTGCTGCTATAGCCATGGGGTTCTTTTTCCTGAAATTTTTCGTTTTGCTACGACACCTGGCTTTGAAATAGAACTCCGGTATGCACATGGTGTCGATGATCCGATTGGTAAACTGTCTCCGCCGACTGGACTTCCGGTGACCCTCGATAGGCTCTTGCTTGATTTGCGTCGCCAGGAGCATCGTTTCTTGTGGTTCCTGTTTGATCGTTCGCTTCGGTTGATTGTTAATAGTTTTGACATTGTCAGTGTTCTCGTCGATTCCATCGCTGGTGGTGGCTAACATCGCCGTGTTGTTGTTGTTATTGTTTTGCGGGTTTGTTGCACCAGCCAGAGATGACGTTTGCGGCTTGGTATTGGTAGCAGCGGCTGTTGTCGCGCGACGTTTCCCGTTTGGAGTTGTGTTGCGCCGCCGTAGGATCAACTTTGTCGGTTCGACGTCATCGCTTTCCCCTGCTGCTACAATATTGTAGTGCTGTCTCTTTCCAACTGTGCGACGTTTTTTATCACCGCACGCGACGTCGCTATCGTTTTTCGTGGTGTTTTTCTTATTATTGTCGATCGGAATGTCTTTAGCCTGCTGCTTCGACTGTGGTTTCTTATCGGAATTGTTTTGAGGCCATGGAACCGCTTTCAGCTTGATGACGGGCTTCAAGTTAAACTTGCTGCCATCGATTATGATTTCCGACTGTGACGCGACCGATTTGTCTAGGTTTTTGTTGACCTTCTTTAGGATGTTGTTATTATTGGTTTTACGTGTAGTTTTTCGACTGGTCGTAGCTCCGTTCCGAATTGGGACTGGATCAGGGAGTAGGGGCAAGGATTGGGCAGTGGGAGATCTCGACCGAGACTCCGTCGTGCCGTTGAATCCGAGCGATCTCCATTGCAGACTGACGTCTGTAGTCATATCCAGTACATTCCCGGAACACTGTGGATTATTTCACTGCACTACAGGAAAATACCCCCACCGGGACCAGTAGTATTATGATTTCACTCACTATGGTGCTCTCTTCTGCGAGCTAGACACTATTTCGCCCATTTTATTCACACTCTGGCATGCCGTTTTGCTAGGATCGTGCTAGACAATTTCTTTGGCTTCTCACTTGTTCACTCACACTGCGTGGCCATCGTGCCACATACATATTCCTTGCTGGACCTGCCAAGATTCATTTTCCGAGAATTTCCGTGCACTCTCACACTCTGCTCACGATTTTAATCTCCACCGTGGAAATAATCAATAAAACTCGCCTTTTTTTATTTTTATTTGATCAAAAGCGGCGAGCTGTCAAAATCTTATTCGATTTTTTCTGCTCTCTTCCACTGCCCGTATAAACACCCGTCGTCGTCATACAAAACACTCGCACAGTCGCGAACCGAAGACCTTCTGCACGTACACTTGTCTACGGGCGGACACACTCATACTAGCACAGCATGGCCGTGCGATCTCTTCTTCTGTTATGTGCCAGCCACTGTTGTGCAAACGTGCGTTCACTGGTATGTGTGACGGAATTAAGTGAATAACATACGAGAGAAACGTGAAAACTACATATAATAAAAATATAGCTAAATTATAAATTTTTCTCCATTCAAGCACTCCCGTAATCCATTTTCTTTTTTTCGCTTCTCTCACTTGCGCGATCTGTCAGTCAGACCTTCTGTCACAGAGCACTTTTAACCACTGTAATTTTTTTTGTGTATGCCCATCCACTGCCTACTATAAATGTACACACAACACACACTGGATGCGTACTACTTTTCTTTTTGCCAACGGATTGGCTGCTGCCAGACGACACTGACTGCCACGAATATTTAGTAGTAGCGTTGAGAGAGAGGTCACCACTCTGCTGTGTACGGAGCTGACGAGGAGTAAAGACACAACCCAAATGGTGCTGCTGCTGCTGCTGTTGTTGGTGATGATGATGATGGCTGATTAGGTCACACACCGACGAATATCGCTATGCCCTCTCTGGCATCTGGCTAGCGCGTACTTTACATAACATAAGTTAACTGTTTCATTGCCCGCACAACACTGACGAACGCGAACGTCGTCGCGCCGAACATCGCCGAGCACCGCGCTGCCCGATAGAAAGCGAAATTTTCTGTGTTCGAAAATCGCCTGCTCACCACTACACGGCCGCACTCCCCAGACGAATGTTGCATGACGTCAGGAAAACATCGCACCACATCGCCCTTCTAGGCATGCAGCTTCGATCGACATCTCGTGTGCCGAAGTGCACGTGCTGGCACGTGTGTTTGTGTGCGCTGATATTTTGCCTGCCTTCTGTCTTCTGTCTGTTTTTGTTTTGGTTCGAGTGCGTACTGGTCGTCGTGAGAGACCTTCCACCTTGCTCCGAAACGCCTATAAATCTGTCCTTCCCCGCGCGCCTAACTAGACTTCTAAACTCCACCTTTTCCTATTGTGTGGCGAGACGAAATTCGAATCGGAATCGCGTAAGGACCTCTAGCGCCAATGACGTTTGACCTTGAATTGGCCTTTGGGATGTTCTTCCCGTCGCGTCAGTGCACATCGAGAGGCAGATCCATTTCGAACCCGACTGCATGAGAATGTTTTGTTCGAATTCGAACATCAATTCCACTACTACCATCCAGTTGCATTCCGTTTCACACTGGCGACGAAGAAATGTTTCTTTTCCGATCGCGTGAACTGGACATTCGCGAGACATCACTTGGATAGCCACTCAGCGACAGATAGCATGATAATGGCATATGCAGCTAGACCACCCGAATGCTATAAAAGGAAATGCTTTGCTGCTCCTCGACGATGAGATGACGATGTTTTTCTTTCTTTCTCAGCAATAAGACGGGATGGTAAGTTCTGGAAGACATCTCGCACACATGCAACCGCAATTGGAAATAAAGTGGACAATAGTAGCGGGGCCGAAATGAGTGTACCATGATGTTAGAGGGCGTAAAGAGTGTACTTATACATTCATATATTATGGCGGGCCAAATGTGCGGACGGAACAACGCAAACAAACAAACGAAGAAGTAGTGCCAACCGCTGAGCTCTCCGGGCAGAGGTCTTTGATCCAGAAAGGAAAGAATCGCGTTGCGATGAGGAAGTTGTGGATAGCGATCCCGCTGGTGGATGGTGGCGGGAGCCGAAACGGACGAGGCACGCTGCGAGCGAACGCTTCCGAGTTCCGAGTGAATATGAGGCGGCGGCGTTGCACTGCGAAGCGAGGTTTTTCGTGTTAGAATGACTGTTTTCGAACTCGATGATGGCGATGATACATAAGTAGAATGCGGACGTGCACTGGGGCGTTCGCTCGTCATATTGTTTTTATTTGCGTTTCAGCTTTTTAGAGTTTCGAATTGATTCTTTGGAATTGAGTAGATTTTACAAATTCTAACCTGTTGTTGGAAGCAGTTATAAATTAGCTACCAAATGTTACAACTAAATGAATTGAAATTCGTTTCAATTTTTGCACCTCACCTGCACATGTGCCAATGTGCACCCGTTTAATCCGGTCAATTTATCCCATGATGTTATTTTAATTCACTTCATCAATATTTATGCCTTGCCCTCGATATCAATTGGAATAATATATATAAAAAAAAATCTTCAATAGTCAGTTTAATCATGATGTAAAAAGTGACTCTTTTGTTGCAATCATGGAGAACCTCAACCTGCAACAAAGTGTTCACCAATGCCAGTTGTTCTGAGTTCACCAGTACACAATGTGTGTATCTATATGTGTGACAATGTTTTCAATAATTTAAACTCATGTGGTAGGGATAATACATAATTCATCATTTTTACCTTTTTTCTCAGGGTCATTCCGTACGTATCACCATCGGGGTGGCGATCTAATTTGCATCGAGTGTCGCAAATCAGGCCACTATCTGCACGCAAACCGACCGGCATATGAACATTAAATGCAAGAAAGGCTTTGTTACACTTTTACAAGATTTATTGCAGGAACTCACTGAATATTGGAAATACAGTAATATATGCCGGTCGAATTATAGAGGTTAAGAACCACAATCCTATAGAAAATTCCCATTGCAGTAGTCATGAGATTAATTTTTAGTATGGTTCCATATAGCTTGATATCGTGTAGTTGAGTGGTGTCTATTTTTTGTTGCCCCCAAATCGTCTTCGATATACGCACCCCTCAGTTATGCATCATAAAAATAGCACCTACCCTCTAATTTGGAATGTTGCTTAAATTATTGCAATGATCATTATTCACAGCAAGGTAAAATGTATATTGGTTTTTGTTTATTTTAAATATGTGCAGTGCACATTGTGTACGTTACATACGTTATGTGTACCATATATAAAATTACGCACTTAACAAACTATTATTGAATGAATAATACAACAAAATATCTTTATAACATCTCATGATTTTAAGACTCCTCCGACTTCAACTTGATTCATACGGCTTTCTCCTCTGATATTAATTTGCTTCCATTTCAGCAGCATTTGCGTCCAGCATCTTGACGATACACATAGGGGCAGAATGGTACTTTTGTTGGACAAAAATCGTAGCGCGCCACCCCTGCATCTTAGAGGTTTGGTGCCTTTGGCAAAGTTGTTCAAATGGTTAAGGATTATCTAAGGACGTTAATATGTTAGTTCTAGATCACGCCGCTCTGGTGGCGCCACCTCTAACTTTTTATAGAAGCATCATAGCGAAAAAGTTTTTAAGCAAAGTTGTTTGTTTTGACTTTTTGAACAACTCTTCCGAAGACGTCAAAAATCCACAGCCTACTTCAAGCGAGATATTTGACAGTATTAGTAATATTCATTGAAAAACAGTTATTTTTTCTTCAATTCAATGTACTTTAAACGCAGATAAAATAATCTTAAATGTTTTTTTTTTAATAAAAATATGCATTTTCTCAAGCATTTATTGTGACAGACTTATTAAAGTAAATGATTTAACAGCATATTTCATCAAAACAAGCTAAAACTCATGCAAACTTCTGTGGTCCATAAAACAAAAATGAGCTAAAAGTAGCAGCTCATTTTCAGCTCACAAGTTCCTCAATGCTTACCGATTGATATCCTGAATAGCACTGAACAGGGCACTACAAGGCATTTATATTGCAACGTGTTGAAAATACTAGATTAACAAAAAAAAAAAAACCATTGCACTTGTGGATTACTATTTTCTCTACATGACATACCAAAATAATCAAGTAAGCCTTTGAGTAATTTTGTTTTTGTTTGAATCTTAAAAATGATTAGATTTCAAGTTCATGTGTTGTTGTTGTAGTAGAAATAAAATATAAAATGTATCTGTAACATTTATTATATTATAAAATAAGGTTTACTCTTCATAAATATCCTCGTTATCAGCATCACTATCGTCTATAGCATTATTACTGTTTGCATCATTTGGTAGCTGCAGAAAAGTGCTACCATAGTCGGTTTGAGATCCCTGTGTTCACGGGAGTTCTCATCGATGACAAAACCGGATCATAAGTTATCATTAAATCGTTGAAAATATCCTGCATTGTATCCTTCCGACTAGTGTGTCTGCTCTTCCATTCCCGGAAATGTCAGAAATCCTTATTTCGGGCCTCTTGTGCCTCCTCTGACAGCATGCCGATCGGTAGTAATGCAATTTCGATTGCATTGGATCCGTGTATGAACACTTTGCTGGCATGGGATACCAACTGTAGAGTTTTGCTGTATCTAAAGCGAATGTTCGGAAGGTCTCCACATGAATAGCATACCCACAGGACAGCGTTCATAAAATAGTATCAATACCTGAAATTTATCGAGCAATAAACATTGTGTGTCATACTTTATGTAATTCAATTCGACAACCTAAAACATGAAAATATAAGATATGATACTTGTGATTTCACTTGTCTTCGATGGATTCGAAAAAAATCTCCGCACTGTGTTGCCATCGTTTGCGTTCCGGATCGATCTCTAACGATGGCCACTAACAGCCCACATTCAACTTTGAACTTGTTCTGGATATCCGTTTTCGTTTCTCAATAGCTTCCTTCACCGATTGCGTTTTGTGATGCAATATTCATGCAGCCACTTACTTGATTGCACAGATATATCGTTAATAGCTTCCGATCTTCCCACGTCTAGACATCCTTTCATCCACAACTCATTACTTTTTTCAAATGTTGGCTGGCTCTAATGTTGGCCTATGGTTCTAAGATTGGGCCCATCACTAAAAATCTACTATTTTTCAATTTATCTTGATGAACGCGTCATTGGGACGGTACTAATGAATATTTTTGGTCGCTATTGAAAATTTAGTCGATTGCTGAATTTATGTATGGGCGTATGGGCCCAAATTAGGGGCATTTAGGCCGACATGACATCCATTTCCCCTACGACCACTTTTCTCCCATCTCTTTTTTATTTCTCCACAACACCTTATAACGTTTGTAATCTCTCGCAGATATATTTATACCTGTGCTTCCAGGAAAGATTTATATTTTCACTCAAGAGATTGAACACTTCCCAGATAACCAGAATGCATGTATATTTAAAGTTGTTTTCGTGATATACAAACATATATACAAACAAACAATTCGCATATAATGCACAGAAATGGCTTATGTGTACAAAAGTGGAGGCCATATACGTGCATATTTTAATTTAACTTTAAACGAGTTGGTTTCACATCATATACGATTTAATCTGTAATAACAAATTCATTTTGAAAAGACTTACGATGTAATCCGATTTAATTTGTGATACAGTACGACGAAAAATTGAGCCATCGCATATAGGTCGGAAATTTGCATTCTATACGATTTAACTTAAACATAATGCGAGGTATGCCATTCTTATATGCGATTTTGACTTAAACTGTAGTAATTTACGATACTGTCTGTACATTGTTATACGACTTTAGGTTGTCTGGGTTCTCTTCTTGTGACGCAAAACATTTTTGAATTACAATCACTGTCTGAGAAAACAAACAAACAATTCAAGGCTAACCTGATGATGAAACGTAGAGACAATGTAAAATGTAAAAAAATTGATTTTTTTGTTATATATGAAAATCAAATATTTTCAACACTGTGGAATAAAAATGCCTTGTTGTGCCCGGTGCAGTGCTCTGCAGAATAGTTATCGGTAAGCACTGAAGAGCTTGTGAGGTGAAAATG